CCGCCCGCTCCAGCGGGAGCGACTCGGACCGCTCCGGTTTCCTGCGCCAGCTCACCTTCATCAAGGAATCCTCCAGCCTGCTACTCCGGCACCGCTCCGAGCTGACCCCGCCGACCCCCGCAGCCTCGCTGCCTCGCCGGGGGTCCCCTCAGCGCAGCCGTGCCACCCTCCCGGCCGTGTTCCTCTGCTCCTCCCGTTGCGACGAGCTCAAGGCGGCCAAGCCGGCGGCCCCCGGCCCTCGGCCCCTCGCCCCCAGAGCCCAGCCTGGCACCAAGACCAGCGCCGGGGCAAAGCCGCCGCGCAGGACCAGCTCCGAGAGCCCGTCCCGGCTGCCGGTGAAGACCAGCGTCCCCGCGGCCGAGCCCTTCAAGCGATACTCGTCCTCGCCCAACATCAGCGTGGCGCGGCGGGCGGGCAGCCCGTCCTCCTCCTCCTCCGTGCGCTCCGAGGCCCCGGCGCGGCGCAGGCAGCCCGAGGCGGCTCCCGGGGGGCAGCCGGGGAAGCCGCCGGTGGTGGTGATGAAGGGCACGTGGCGGAGGATCCGGGACGAAGACATCCCGCACATCCTCAAGAGCACGCTGCCCTCCTCCGCCCTGCCGCTGGCGGGCTCCGGAGAGGACGAGTCCCCCGGCGCCCCCGGCCCCAGGAAGACGAGCGACGCCGTGGTGCAGACCGAGGACTTTGCCGCCTCCAAGACCAACTCCAGCACTTCTCCCACGCTGGAGACCCGCGAGGGACCCCCGCACCCCCGTGCCACCGGCGATGGCGAAGCCCCCGCGCCCGCCAAGGCTGCCCTGCCCATCTCCTTCGGCCACGAGGCGCCCGCCGGGACCTTCCCCGCCAGCCGGCACGGCTCCCCCAGCAAAGCCGCCCGTGTCACCCCCTTCAACTACGTCCCCAGCCCCATGGCGGTGACGGCCGTGGCAGACAAGGCGGTGGAGAAAATCCAGGCTTGAGCAGCTGCCACGGATGAGCCCCCAGTGGGGGTCCTGTGACACCCCCAGCCACGGGAGCTGAGCAGGACTGTGCTGGGGACACACACACGATGATTTGGGACAGCTGGGGACTAATGAGTCACCCCAACCCGCTGCTTTTCCCACTGGGGTCTTGCTGTTCTGGAGCATCACAATTCCCAGTGCCAAGGACTGGACTTGGCCGGGAACACGCTTAGGGCTGACACCCCAACCCGGGGTGAGTCTCATGGACCATCTCCTGCTGATGGACAACCCGGGACAAGATGAGGGGGGATCATGTCCCCAGGTCCCCCCCATCTCCCTCACCCAGCGAGGGCAGGGCCTGAACCAGGGTCTGATCCCACACGCGGGGAAGCCGGCACGGCACACCCTGGCACAGGGACACCCCCACGTGCTCCAGCTCCTCTGGCACCAACACCGGCTGTGCCAGCAGTCACAGCCCATTTATTGAGGGGGGAAGGGGATGCAGGGGAGAGGTTTTGCAGGGGTGATGGGGCCCAGGACCCCTCTTTGTGCTGCTGGAGGGACCAGCAGCCGAGGTCCCTGCGCTGGTCTGAGGCGGCAGAGGGTGCAAATGGTGCAGGGGAAGCCGGGCAGGGGCTCACAGGGGTGTCTGGGGTCCCCATGGGCTCATCCTGGGGGGCTTTTCACAGGGTGGTGTCACCAGGCTGGGGAGCTGCCCTGGGAGGGGACAGGGTGCTGAGCTGGCACCGCAGTAACCAACCCCCAGGGAAGGGTCTGGGATCCCTCACCTCCATCTGCAGCTCCCCAGCTTCCCACCCCCAGGGTGGAAGATCCCTGTCCCAGCTCGCAGCAAGGATCCTGGTGTGTCCTTGTGGATGTGGACACGAATCCATCCAGGACTGGATTACGCCCACGGGGGGCTCCCAGCCCCGAAACCCCAGGGACACCCCAATCCTGCTGCCAGCTGGCCCCAGGGGCCAAGACTGGGGTGTGATGGAAGTGCCTTGGCCCCTGGGAGTGGGGTGGGCTGCAGAGGGACCCCCTAATCCAGGTGTTCCCTGACTCCTTGGGTATCTCCCAGTCCTCCCACCATCACCACCTGCTTTGGACAGGGTGACCTATGTGTCCCCCCATACCAGTGCCACAGGGGCTGCAGGGACAGTGCATCAGGGTCGTGGGGACAACCTGGAGACCCCTGTGCTGGCATGGGGCCAGCACAGGTGACCTGGAGCTGAGGGTGAAGAGAAGGGGGAAAAATCCCAGGGGCAGCACGTGTCCCACCTCCTGAGTGCTGCAACGGAGCACAGGGTGGCAGCAGGGCCAGCGTTGCCCCCTGGGCCCAAGTCTGCCCCCCAAACCCCGCTGTCCCCGGACAATCCCGCTGGGCTGTGCCGTGCCCCGCTCCCCCAGCACTGTATCTATGTACTAAGGATGTTATTTTACCGGACTCTGGACAGTATTCCCATTAAAAGCCAACCTGTGTAAATAGGAAGGGGTTCTCAGTCTCTTGCGGGCTGGGGGGACTTGCAGCCCCTCCGCAGGGTTTTCTGGATCCATTTCTTGTACTTGGCGGTCGAGGTGGCGACCGGCGGCTTGAACGGGTCGGTGACATCTGGGCCGCTGAAGGACATCACCCCGGCCACCGCCGCCCGCTCCCCGCACACCAGCGGGCCCCCCGAGTCACCCTGGGGGAGGGGGTGACACCAGGGAGTGCCCCCCGACCGGGGGGGAGACCCCCACCACGGCTGAGGGGACATCTCACCTCTGTGCTCAGGGTGAGAGTCCCCCCTGGACCCCCCCACACATGGGAATGGTGGTTCAGGGTGGGCAGAGCTTTGTAACCCCCCCGACCCCCAAATGCTCACCTTGGCGGGGGCCGAGCCCCGGGGCTGTCCCTGGAAGCAGATCATGGTGGGGGCGATGCCCCCGTCCCAGAAGCGGCTGTTGTTGCACATCCGCGGGTCCAACACCTTCACCTCCAGCTCCTGCAGGGTGGGCGAGAGCCCCCTGCGCCCACGGACCCCCCAGCCCGCCAGGCTGCAGGTGGTCCCCGCCGCCGGTCCCCGCCCCGACAGCCCGATGAGCTGCCGCATCCGGCCCAGCGTCACCGTCCCCTCCAGCTGCAGGGGGGGACAGTGTCAGACACACCCCACACAGCTGGGGGGCCGCAGGGATAACCCCAACCCTGCAGGTGGAGGGGGAGCACCCCAATGCTGCAGGCGAAGGGCCAAGGGGGGCACCCCAGTGCTGCAGGAGTGGGGGTGGGCTGAGGAGGAGTACCCCAACGGCACAGGTGGGCGGCTGAGGGGCGGCACCGAGCCGATGCAGCGCCCGTGGGAGTGGGGAGATGTTGTGGAGGTGTGAAACCTCTGGGGGGTGAGAAGAGGAAATGTCACCAAGCCTCTCGCCCCGGCTGCGAGCGCAGCTGCAGTGACACGGTGTGAACCCCCCAGTGCCCCCCCAGCAGCGCTTCCCAGAACCACCAACCCTCCCGCTCCTCCTGCCCCCTGGCAGACCCCTCCTGAGCCCCACCTGCAGCAGGAGCAGGTCGTTCTCCATCGTCCCACGGTCGTAGCCAGGGTGAGGACAGGCCGCCCGGATGGGGAAGGTCTGCGTGGCTGCCCCGTGGTCCCGCAGGCTGTGCAGCCCCACCACCACTCTCCCGTTGGTTTGTGTCCTGCCCCACACCAGGACCCCTTGTCAGCTCGGTGCCACTCACTGTGAGCCCCCCGAGCCCCCCAAGCCCCCGGACTCACCCCTGGGCCAGGCAGTGGGCGGCCGTCAGGACCCAGCGCCGGTGCAGCAGCGCTGCCCCGCAGGCGTGGACCCCCCCAAACTGCAGGGACGCCATGTAGGGCCGGGAGTGGGGTTTGGCCTCACGTCCCCCGATGATTGATGGCTGGAGCCAGGCCCACGCTGTGGGGAGAGGAGATCCTGTCCTGGCCCCCAACCAGCACCTGCCACCACCCCGGTCAGCGATGCTGAGACCCCGCTGGGCACCCCAGACCCACTGCCCTGGTGCTCACCCGAAGGCAGGGGTAGCAGCAGCAGCAGCAGCAGCAGCAGCAGCAGCGGCCCGAGGCAGCCCCTCAACCCCATTCCTGCCTGCTCCATGTCCTGGTGTGGTGTCAGAGGAGTCCCACGTCCCATCTGACAGCAGAGCAGGGCAGCAGCGGGACACAGACCCCGCTAAGGGGGGCAGGAAGGGGAAGAGGCACCCACAAGGTAACACCTGTGGGGGTGGGAAACACCCACAGCCCCCTCGCTGCTCAGCTTTGCAGACAGAAAGTGGCATCTTCATCAAAATGGGGGGGGTTGTGAGATCTATGACAATCTGCAGCGCTGGGTGATCCATTCCCACCACCTTTATTAGCAAAACAAGGACAGTTTTCCCACCACCATCACCACGGGGCCATCAGTGCTGGCCCCTGGCCAACCCTCCCCAGGGGTCCCTCAGTGCGTCCCTTTGGGGGGGACCCGCCTGGCCCCTCTGCCCGGGCGGGCTCTCAGGCTGGCCAGGAGCTGCTCGAAGAAGAACTCGCTCTGGTAGTCCAGCGGGATGATGTGCTGCAGGAACGGGGGCACCTGGGCCCTCGTCACCCCCACGCACACGGGGACCAGCCTGGTCCCGCAGCGGTGGATGACGCGGAGCAGGTTCCACTGGGACACGCGCTGGCACCACGGGTCGCCCACGGAGCGGGCCGAGAGGAGCAGGATGGCCACCCTGCTGGCCTCGATGACCTCCAGGGCCGTCAGGATGACAGATGTCCCGGCCACTTGGTCCTGGTGCTCGGTGAAGCCCCGGAACCCCTCCTGCCTGAGGCGCTGGGCAATGCGGGAGGCGACAGGATCGTCCTCCGGGAAGTACCAGAGGGAGAAGTCGTAGGGGAAGGTGTGGTGTGAGGGCACGGAGGACGTGCCACCCACGGGGGATGTGGTAGCCAGTGCAGGGAGCACGTGTGGGGTCCAAGCCTTTGCTCCTGCACAGGGATCCTGCGGCCGTGCTGGGCAGCCCTTCCCAGCAGGTCCCTGCGGAAGCGCCACCGGGGTGGCAGAGCCAGGTTTGGGAAGACAAAACCACAGCCTGAGGCGTCCTGAGGTGCCCCACCACAGTCCAGGAGGGGTCAGGGCTCCGACCCCGGCCCTCAGAGCGCCTTCTCCCTCATCTCTGCGATGCCGCGCTCCAGCTCCGCTCCCGCCCGCTCCAGCTGCCGGCGCTGCTCCCGCAGCTGCTCCCGGGATCGCTGCAGCCGCTGGTTCATCCCCACGTACGAGCGGCTCTGCCGGTACAGCCGCTCCCGCTCCTCGGCCGCGGGGTCGGGGGAGCCTGGCGGGGCACACGGGGGGTCAGTGGGACACTGGGGGGGTTCCCCACACCCCCCTGCCCATCCCGGGCTCACCTGGAGCGGGGCCGTGGTCCAGGGGGGGCTCGGCGGGGAGGACGAACACGGGGTCGGCCGGGTGGGTGCCCTGCACGTCCTCCAGGATCTGCTCCACGCTGGGGGGCTCAGGGCGGGTGGGCAGCACCCGCTTGGCCTTGGAGCTCATCACGGGGGAGGCTCATGTAGGGGGGGCTCTGCAGGGGGAAGAGGGTGGGTGAGGGGGCTGCGGTGCCCCCACCCCAGACAGACAGAGAGACAGACAGACCCTTCTCTTCCCTATCGCCCTATGACAGACAGACCCCTCCGTGCTGCTCTTCGGACAGACAGACCGACTTCTCTCCCAGGCCCCCCCAGCACAACAGGCAGAGCCCCCTCGTTGTCCCCCCCGGATGGACAGACAGAACATTCCACCTTCCCCATCCCAGGACAAACAGAGGGGATCCCTTCATTCCTCCCTGCCCCCCCAAGACAGACAGACCCCCCTCAGTGCCCTCCCCGGGGAGACACACAGATCCCCTTCGCTGCCCCCGTGGACAGACTGACTTCCCACCAGACTGACAGACACCCCCCTCCCGCTCCCCCCAGTACAGGCAGAACAGAATCCCCTCACTGCCCATTCCCAACAGACAGACAGACAACCCTCCCCCCCCCGCTGTTCCCGGACACACTGACAGACCCCTCCTTGCGCCCCCTGCCCGTGGACAGACAGACAGACACA